ATGTATAGTAGGATTTTTACTCTATAGAAGTCTAAAAATTAAGGAAAGTCTACTCGCAGTTGCATTTTTGCTTATAGTGTATATCTGCGAGGACATTAGTAGCATCGTGTGCGCTTGAGCTGGTGTGTACACAACTTCCAAAGAGGTCTGCATCTCACTGCTGCCTACAAAGCAAGTTAGCAGAGATTTTCATAGACACCCACATGCAAATCTCTACGAGAGAGCGATTTGCTAGGTATTCACTTTTACTTTTTTTCGCTGTACAGAGCTGACATCATGAATACATTTATTGTATTGACTTTGAAGTTTTTAATATCCAGGAGCAGTGCGAGGGGGAGGGCAGTGATCGCAACCTCCTGGTGCTCCATGGTCTCCATCTTCTCCGTGATGTCCGTCATGTCCATGATTTCCTGGTTTACCAGGTTTTCCGTCGTCTCCATGTTCTCCTTGATGACCATCATCACCAGGCTTTCCGGGTGCTCCTGGCTGACCATCGGGTCCAGGAGGTCCTGGAGGTCCAGCTGGTCCAGGTGGTCCCTGTGAGCCGGGAACTGTGGTGAGTTGTCCTGGAGCTCCTGGCGCTCCAGGGTTTCCAGGCTGGCCGTCGTTTCCGGGTGGTCCTGGTGGTCCCATGGGACCTGCACCTCCTGGGTGTCCGTCTTTCCCTGGCTCTCCGTCAGATCCAGGATTTCCTGGTGCTCCCTTGCCTCCCGGGTTTCCAGGTGGACCTGGAGGACCAGCAGGACAATTGAAGCAAGGATAGACTTCCGGCGCTGGTGTCATTGGTGGTCCATCAGGTCCATCTTTACCAGGTTGACCAGGCTGGCCATCCGATCCAGGTTGTCCATCTTGTCCAGGTGGTCCTGGTGGTCCTGCAGGGGAGACACCACATCCACAGCATCCACCACCGCCACCACCACTACTGTAGCCGGCCTGACGCGTTTTCCTGGAGGCTAGTACCTAAACGCATGCATTTGCTGGACTCAATTAGAGCTGCATAGAAATTTCAGAAGTGTTTTAAATTTACCTGAGTGCGTGTGACTTCTCTCCAGATGTTTCCAGAGCGGATTTGCAGAAGTCGACCTTCGTTCTGCATGACCGACTGCATGTGCTGCATGTAGTTGTAGAGCATTGGAACAGAAATCACACAGACCAGCGTAGCAATGGTGGAGAGGAGTGACGCCGACGAAGGCGAATCTCCTCAGAGAATGCGCCTCAGCTTCCCAGTTCTTCTCGTTGTAAGACATGGTGGTGGTAGCAATCGCAACAGTGTAGCTCCTTTTATACGATTTCGGTGGCCGCGATATTTGTCTACATGGGCAATCAAAATGCGGCAGTTTTGAGTTCAACACTTGCAATGAAGGCCGTGACTAGATAAAATCGGACTGAATTCCGTTAACTCTGAGTTAATCGGTTTTGAGTTTGTTTAGTAAATTAGTAAAACAAACTGAGAATCCCCACCTCTGGAAAGTAGAATTTGCGCGATCAGGGGGGGGGGGGGAGGAGATCATGCGGAAGCAAATATAGTGTCCAAACAGCCCATGAATCCTATGCTCGTCTGTAACTGCTGTCTGAACTCTGTGAGCTGTTTAAAAAAGTCTCAAATGAATACTACCACTTAGTACCACTCTTCACTTATTAGGGGTGTTTATATTTTGCCTTGTCCTCGTTTGCAGACTTTCAACACCGCTCGTAAAAACCCTGTTCTTGTTGCATTCGTTTTTTATGTCTATCGCGAAATATCGAAAATGATTTTATTGCTAGCATCACTCAGTTGCGGTTTATGTGGGAGGCCACTGGACTCAAAAGCGAAACTCCCTGAGACAGGAGTTTTCTTACTAATTACACGAAGTGTGACAAGCGTTGAGACAACCTGGTTAACACTTTTCAGAGGCATTTGTCGAATCTGTAGTGAAACAGGAGTAGCCATCAACTATTTCAAGCTCTTTTGTAGTTTAGAAGGATTCTTGTGTTTGGGTATTCCACAGCAAGTGGCCGGGAAACTGAACTCAACTTTTCAACAGTCGAAACTTTGATTCTGGCGGATTCGTTGGTGAAGTGACCCTGGCCCTGAAAGTCACCGATACATTAACAATATTTCTCCATTAGTAATGCATGCCGGCCTATGTGCTTTCGGGGAAAAGGCAGTTTACTCCCGTGGATATAAAACCTTTTTGCCTGTGTTGTTCCTCGTCCTCGTCTTTGTTCGGTAAGCAAATGACTGCTGGAAATTACAGTACTGAAGAAACTGGACAGACTCCCAAGATGGTATTTTCACTTGTATCAACGATATAATGCAATTTTTTGCTAATAAAGCTTCCGCAGTAAATAGAAACGAAGCAGAGGAGTGATACAAGACTTCTCGTTTTAGCGATGAACATCTTCTGGCTGAATTATATCAAAACATCGCTTAGGTGATATAGGGTTGATGGACTCGGTCACTTTATGATCAGAATGTTAACTTCTGGGTGTTGGAAGTAGAGTGTCCATGTACTTCGTCCACTGTGTGGAGTATTTTCAGTTTTTAGAAACAACATTCTTCCCATACTCTAGGGAGACAAAGTTTCCACTGTTAATTAATCCCTTTCTGGGATACGGTACGCATTCTACTTCCATTCAGAATCTTAGTATCATATTGAACACGACGTGGCCAATACAATCACTTGAGGTGCCAGCCGATGTACGAGTCAGCGTTCTTATACTTCCAGACGATCTGGTAATAATTTACCTTTCGGATGGGAAAGAAGTCTGGGTGGGAGCCCATTCGCGATATGATCCCAGACCGCGCTCGTGATAAGCGTGCCATTTACCACTACATCACCTCCGCCTCTCCTATATTCTCTTCTATGAAATACAGCGGGATTTTCGTACACGAAAGAAAATCAGGTGATTATCGATAGTATGTAATAGTAACGCAATTTTCTCAGCTTTGCGAGTTTTTTTGCGAGACTTTAGTGACTCTTTCTTTTTGTTTATTTTGCCACTACTGTACCTATCCTGTCATAGAGATACTGTTGTCGAGAGTTCCCAGTGTTGGGGCCAGGGCATAGCATCGTTGTGTGAATCACACAAGGGGGGGGGGGGGAGGGTCGCATTTGGTTGCTGGAAGAGGGGTCGTGTGTGCCTTTATGAGAAATTTGTTGCGTTTTTGCTGCGTTGTTCCACTTGACGGAAAATTTTTGGGCTGAAAAACTGGAAAATGTGGGAAATTATTAGACAGGTGTTGGGGAAAGGGGGGGGGTCGTACCGAGACCCCATTTAAGTGGGGGGGGATTCATACCTACACCACCGTATCATCATTGCGATGCTGCACTCTGGATGGGAACAAAGCTTCTCAATTGCAACATTCCCATGTTTTTCGCGGATCATCTTTTTTGACACAGCTATTTTGAAGTCATAAAGTAAAGTAACTGGTATGAAATTAAGGTGTTCTCCGGTGCCTGTGTAAATTTCTATTTTTTCTCACCACCAAAAGGTCATTCATGGCTTTGCAACTGAAGTGAGTTGTTCCGAGTCATGGGTTGGGCACCTTATGCCTTACGGAATGACGAGAATTTCGCATGTTCCAGTGCGACAACAGAGGTATTTCACATCTTCCCGGAGGAGTGGACCATCTATAAAGGAAGATATGCCGTCTATCGTTGTAAACACCAAATTACAGTCACGATCAGTACACACTTGGACGTTCGAAGGTCTCAAAGTCCGAACTAAAAGTGGCGTCATAAAACACAATTAGCTAATCAGACATGCTATCTTAATCCAGAAACCGCCTGCTCGCCGCTTATCATTCGACATCACCCAATACTGGGCACCCGTTTCCGATGAATCAAGTGCAGCGCTTTCGTGAGTCCCTTTTTGATCCGCTTTTTCAGAACCCCTTCCTGATGATGACATTTTTTAGCCCTCTTTCATCCGTTTTCTCGACGTCTTCATCTGCTGGTGCTATGTATGATTGGTCTATTCAACTCTACGTACATGAATGTGAATTTGGCGATTACAATGACATGTATGGTGAATTCAACGGCTGTCTCAATGGAGACCGAAGATATGACTGAAATTATGGAGAATATTACCATGTGGAGTGATGATATCGACTCTTCCACTACAGTTTGCTCGTCGAGCGGAAATGGCCGTAAAGTGCTCGACTACGGGGTGGGAGTGGTTTTCTTTTGTCTTCATTAGGATTCTTTTCCTTTGTACTCGTTGCTCAACTGCCGAATCTTGTTTGTTCTTTGGGAAAAAGTCACTTGGTGGGGTCCTATATCCGTCGTTTGGAAAGACAGCACTGGTTCGTTATGCCAAGCACTTCGAAATCGAAAAAAATAAAATTTCGCACAATTTCTGAAAGTATTATTGAGGTGAAGGACCATTGCAGGTAGAACTCTCACTGGGTAAAAAAATGTCTTGAAATTAAGGAGACCGAGGAGGAGGTGGTGTAGTGGCTCGTGGCATTCTTATCACTCGCGCAGTCCTGGCGCTAATCTCGGCTCGACACTCGCCCAGGCCAACCAAGCCTTTCTACCCTCCGGGGACGGTAAATTGGTACCAGATTCGTCTGGGAGGATAAAACACTGACTTGTACATCGGCTGGCCCCGCAAGTCATTGTATAGGCCACATCGCATTCAATAAGCCACTACGATTCTGAATGGAAGTAGAATGCGTGCCGCATCCCACAAAGGGATTGATCAACGGCGAAAACTTTCCTTTCATAAAGGGGGCGAGGTGTCGTAAAATGGTAGTAACTCCCTTCAAGGGTGGACCAGGGAGGTTTATCACGGTTCTTTAGAGGATGGGAAAGGTTTGCCCAAAACGAAATCTATTTAGGAACTTCCTGCAAGTAGGAAAAAATGACTGGTTTCAAATCCGTGCTAACATCTGCATTATTCGCTAACTAAGGAGGAAAATTTCTCAAAATTTGCTCCCCGTTTGAACCATGAACTGCCTTGATCGGAGAATCTTCTAGAAGGGGGTGTATTTTGAACAGATGGTGAGGCAGTGATATTTTGCTTGCTGTGAAGGATCTGCATAATTGCCAAGGGCCGCGGGTTTATGGAACGAACAGGAGAGTATGATTCTCCTCTTTTGGGCTCCTGTTATGTACGTATCCCCACCTTTTCTCCCCCTCCCCGTCTCTTCCTCCCATCCAAATAGCCGAGTTTTTCCCGAGGTAAGGTCTCAGCTATTTAGGAGGCTGGATTTTGAGGTAGGAAGGTTTATACTAGTATTAGAGAGGGAGCACCGTGGAACATCCTCGGAAACTCGCGAGGAACTGGTAGGACCATCACTTTTCTACAGCTAGTGGGATAGTCTTTTACACAATAGTGGTCGTGTTAACTACCAGTAACATAGTAACTCAGGCCTGATAATAATCACATTGGCTATGACACCTTCGAATTTTCAGGGCATTAATTTCTTATCTGCAGTGCGTATCTTGTATAATAAATCACGGAACGCCGCTATTGAAAAGGCATCTTGTCCAAGAATCAAGCCGTTCCATCCTTAGTGATCAAATCGCGAAATACTAAGACATGAACAGCATTTCAGGGTTCTTTGGTATGGAATCATCATGTGCAGAATCTGTTGTTCTCGGCTTCGTTTTGGGGAGCCATCGCCACCATTTTACCCTCGATTTTCTTGGTTCAGCGAATGAACAAAAGACTCGTCTTTATGCTTTGTGTTTTGAATAAGGTAAGCAGTTTCTTGGTACTACTTCCCTATTCAAAAATTCTTCATTATCTTAATCAACGTTTCTGTTTGCTATGGACTTCTGGCCTTCCTCAGTGTTTTTCTGTTCTGCACAAGAGATGGCTCCCTATGGATTTTCCACTATATCAGGACGAGAAAAATGCTGTTCACACGGCTTGTCCAAAGTTCTTTCGCAGTAGTGATTTTCGACAACTATTCCGCCAAAGAACTGCGATCGTAGTCCCTTATCAGTTGGTTATTTACGTGAAATGGGATGGTATAAGGACTGCTGCTTCTGCTGTTCTGTCGCACATCGTCACACGGTGAAGTTGAAAGACCAAAGTAACAAAAAAGAACACTCCCTACAAAAAACTTCTGCTACCCAGCACAGTGAAAGCGAGCTGTTGGGTTGGTGCGTGACTAATAGCGCCATTTTTTCCTGCACAAAAAAATAACGTTACGCCGCTCATATTATAAAGAAGCACACTTTACTGGCGGGTTCCATAAATATTGTTCAAAACCGTGAACACTCTTGCACAAATCCGCTGATGACTTTCTTCTGTAGAATAAAAGAGCGGGATCTTCACGGGTACAACACTACCCAGGCAATCTCACCGACACCGCGCTTGGTTACCGGCGAGGGGGAGGGGTCTTACTTGCTCGAAGCGGATCGTATCTCGCTCCAAAATGGATTTTTCCGTCAGTTTCTTTGCTCGTTAGCTCTCCACCATCCTTTAATTGGCTAGAGCTACTATACTCCTGATAGTTTACTTCCTTGGTAATTGATGAGTGACGCCTGCTTTTTTTGGGGAAGCTGAATTCAAAAGTAATTGCGTGGCCTCAAAGGGCCTTCATGTCGCTTTTATACACACTGCATATCCCGGCAATGGAGAGGGCGTGGCTGCGTACTCTACTTGAACATGGGTTAGAGGGGTTGTTCGTGGTACAAGTGTTATCCTATCCTATACTGGACGAACTCATTTTTGCAACTTTATGAAATGGCAGTATCTCTTCAAAAGAGCAGCTGCCGCCAAGTTTGAATAAATTACGCAGTACGGACTTTCCATCTCTGGGATACGGAGTGGACTATCCTGACCCCACACAGTGAGCCAAATTACGTGCGAAATTTCACCCCCTTCGATTTCCTTAGTTTTTGCAATGACGTCTATTTTATGTTACGTTATGAGACTCTTAGATAGTTTTCTCAATATCACTGGTGGGTTACACTTCCCAGAGTCTTCCGCTTTCGAAGTGTTGCCTCTTATCCTCACCGAGCCGTGACTGTTCACTTGCACAATCTCAAACGCAAAAAGGAGTTAGACCGCTCAGGAGCAGGAAACTTGTGGAGACCCCGTCAAGCAGTTCAAGGATCTCGCTTCTTCAGTTGACCTTTGGAAGAGCAACGTATACCAGTTCGTTTTCGATAAACATGACAATCATGTGTTCATCAGCGGTGAAACTCGAAATGTCCTTGAGAAAAAGCTGTCTCGAGTTGAGTTCAGTTCACTGAAAATACGGAAAGGAATGAGATGGTAATCTGGGGCTGTCACATAGTTAATTGTTGCGAGGACTAGATCAGAGCTACCCCTTTTGCCACAGACTTTGCCATCCAGTGACTCACGTGCACTGCTTAGGGCTTTCACCTCGGCGATGCGGCCGCAGTTCGCAGATCACAGTGCACCGCCACAAATCAGATGCTGTTCTCTTATCTCGACTGACAATAAGCTGAAGCTAAACTTTTAGCGAAGACTGGAGGCTCCCTCAGGGTTCACTCCAATGCATACGGTTTACTTGATAAGCTGAGAGGCAAAAGAGCACTTAAGGGTGATAGTTGAAGGAGGATAGCTAGAGGGATATTGGTGCAAAACTCATAATGATTTTCACCTATATTGGCAGTACTTTTTCGCATACTGCCGGCGTGGAAAAACCTAACAGGCACTGATCAGCCCATTATTATAGTAACTCGCCATGCGCCAGATATTCCACATATGTAGAAATCGACTTGACGTGTTCTGTATTTGGCCCGCACAACTGCTAGCGGTTAAAGAGTAAGTGGAAGGACGTGACCAAATTGGAGTAAAATCCATTGTTATCAAGCTCTGGGGCACTTACACGAGTGGCTGACAGTATTATCAAAATACTTGGGACTTCAACCGGGTTTTCTGACATTTGGTTGTGTTGCTCTGTGCGGTTTTTGGCGCTAAGCCTACGCAGTGATCCACAAAGCACCCTGTGCATGGCACGTCATTTGTTGAGCATCCAAGCGATCGGGCGCCGTGTTTCGTCGCTTCGGGACGGGAGGGGTGGTTTTGTATGAGAAATATTTTCGGTTCTAATCTCCTCGATTCTTCCCGTTTCTCGTGCGCTATACACCCTCTTCCCTCGGAGATACACCCAAGGAAACCGAAAAAAATTTCCGAAAAAAGCGGTAGGAAGTTGGAAATAATCAGAGATACAGTAGGTGGGACGGGGAAGAGGGGAGGAGGTTGCACCTGAGCAGGGAGCAGTGTACAGCATCGCGATGTGGTGAAATTGTGATGCCAAGTACGACCCCCTCTCGAGGGAGGGTCTTGGTACGATCCTTCCCCTTCCCGACCACCTACCTCCCACTTTCTCACATTTTTCAGTTATTTTTCCTCCACTTTTCCACCCAAAGATTTTCCCTCTCCCAACAACCACCAAATACGACCCCCCCCCCTCCCCAGCAGTAAAGCAGCCTTATCTGTTTCACACAAAGACGCTTTATCCTCGAAGGGAGTTTTCGGATCCAGCTGCGGGACGGCATAGAGGCTGCTGCTCGACTTTCACCATTTTGAAAGAACTTAATCGCGAACAGTTACAGGTTTCTCCTTCCTGCACTCTGGACAGCAAAGGGCTTTGTCAAAAATTAGAAAAAAAATGTAACATGTACGTGCATAATATGTGAAGAGCTAATGAGATTTCAATTTTCGGCACTAATGAACGCCCTGCTTCCTTACCTGGCCATACACCATGGAGCAAATGCAGTTTTCGTGGCACGATTCATCCTTGGAGCCGGTGAGGTATGTACTGAGACTTTCAATGCGGAACTCCTTCTTGTTCTAAACACTCTACATGGAAATATCAATTCTCAAATCTTACTCAAAACTGATTAGACTACTATCTGTTATCCTGGGAACATTGCTTTGTTACCAGGGCAATGCCACTTCCTTAGCCTTGGTCCCTGTGAAATCGCGATTTTTTTTCAGTCGTTCATCTATCCCTGTATCAACACAATGGTTACGAACTGGTTTCCCATTGATGAAAGGAGCACCGCAGTTGCGCTTTTCACCACAGGTGCTCATTTTGCCTTACTATCGAGTAGGACCTTACAAGCTTTCTTCGCCTTGAACTTATGTTCAGGAAACCAAGTCGCTCTCTTTCTCGGTAATCCACTTGCTGCTGGACTATGTGACTCCAGTTATGGATGGCCATCTGTCTACTATATTTCGGGTTCGCCAACTTTTTTTGGTCGATATACTTCACCTTTTCATAGATCCAACCCAGCGATGCCGTCGTTGTATATATCACGCCGTGGAGATGTAGCAAAATTCCCGCCTTCTGAATCTGTGTAGTGATCGTTCTCATCTTCTCAACTGTGGACAATCCGTCCCCGATGCGCCCAACGTGCTGCAAATAACATCCTCGGCTCATCTACAGCCAATACGGAGTAACCTGACATAATGCAAGCATGCCATAGTAACCCCGCCCCAGACGCAACTTCAACACGCCCATTTGATATTAAAGCCGGCATGCGTGTCGCTACCCTCGGGTTGAGACTGATTGGTATTGAATTCTCGAAACTAAAAGGTCAAAAATCCATAAAATTCATTAATTTTTAATTTGTGACTGTAACAGCAAAGAAGACCTCATAAGATATTTCTTTAGCTGCTTATGCGGCCGCAAAACTTTTACTTGTATGTGTTCAGTTCCATACTTCCTGATGATGTCGTTGTGATGCGAGCATGAGAGAGCAAAATTTCTCAAAAAGATCTATGCTATACCGAGAGACAGTCAAAGTGCTTGGGTACGTGAGGTTCGTTGAGTGCTGATAGCGTTCCTTCGAATCATATACTTATGAGACAGGAGTGATGCGACAGTCTCCGTATAGTCAATAGACGCCGTGTCGGCGGTAAAGGCACTTTCCGGCGGATAAAAGAAGGTGGGGGAGACGCTTCCAAATGGCAGGACGTCGAAGGATATTGCGGAGCGGGCTGGCTGCCGCTGACCTGGAAATATCGGCAAGAATCCGTTCAAGCGTAGACCAATTAGTGTCGGCGGATGGCCCCTTGAGGCCCGCATTGCGGGCGACCCCCACGGCTGCTAGCTAACTACTAGTAGCACGTATGCATCTCTCTCATTCCGATATGTCGAGTGAGTTGAGACATTACGATATAAGAGCTGATATGCTTGGTGATTAGAGCGACTAAATGAGAAAGGATTGTACAGAACATGCTGTCGTTCATTGCGAGGAATGGGACTAAGTTGAATCGATATTAAGTCCTAGTCAACGCATTTCGGCTGTATTTCTGCTGCTCTCCGCTATATCAGGTATACCTAGCCTTTTCGTTCTATGTGGCGTTCCATTACCCACAATCTTGCCGTCGCGGGCTTTGCCTTAGTATGAGTGGAAGTGTTACGGTGCCATAGTGTCACCTTCCACCTCTTCGACTCAAGGTCGGACCGCGACCTTTATCTAATCAGGCAGCCTGCTTCATTCGGGGGGGGGGGGTTTATTGTTACCATTACCGTCTGGGAGGGCAAGAGCATTTCACTCGTGGCCCTCGCAATTCGTTGTATAGGCCACCTCCATTGAGTAAGCCTACTGCGATTCCGAATGGGGATTGACTGCGTGTCACGTTCCACAAAAAGGGATCGGTAAAAACTAAGGCTGCAGACTTTGCTTTTTTATTTCCCTCAGTGACTTATGATAAATCCAAGCGTCGTGTTTTTGTAAGTTAAAGGCAGTTGGCACGATAATATGGTACTCGGCCTAAACTGCTAGCAGGGCGCTATATAAAAGGAAAATGGCGAAAAAACGAAGTGAAACGGTCGAAAACTGCGAAGAAAAGCCTTCGTTCTTAAAAAGCAATTTCGGACGAGTTTCCCGTAGGCACCCTGCCAATAACCGCTACAGTAGGTACGGCTGCATGTGCCATATATCCATGCAGCATCGCAGCCGCTTCATACCAATGCCTTCGCTTCATATTTTACTTAGCGAATGAAGCAATACGAGCATCAGGTACGGTCGTCCATTTGTGGGCGGGCGGGCGTGGTGGGCGTTCGGGTCGGTATGTTGTAGTTTGATAGGGCCCATAAGGGTACCTTCCCTGGGAAAGGCGTTACGCAGCGCCTGCTTAGGGTCGCGGAATTCTGTCCTGCCAGGCGTATTGACCCTACTCGTTTTTGGGGATTTATCGTGCCAACTGCCTTTAAGCCAACTAACTAAGTTAGCTAGGAAGTGTCGCGTGCACCAAGATAGTCCCGCAACCCTGTGAAGTTGGCTTTCGTTGTGATAAGTTGGAAGTGTTCTGGTTGTTTCGTTTGTAACGCACTAAATTCTTCTGGCATCTAACTTCAATGTGGTTTATTTCGGCTCAAACAGTGTATTACTTCATGTTCTATTTTGATACCATCTCTTTCCTTGAGGCTCATTTTTAAGCGCTCTCCACCGGTTCCATGGCGAAAAATCATCACAAATCCAGCGTTCCTGGCTCATCTCATTGCCACATGGATTCTCACTAATGTTGTCACAGTCATGATGGTCTATTTGCCCACCTACTACAAGGATGTGCTTCTATTAGGCATTATTATGGTATGTTGATGTGACGACTGAACAATGCGTATGAAGGAATAATGGAGAGTGAAAACGGCAAGCAGTTCTGGCACACCCTGAACATACGAGTTGAACTCTGACGCGCGAAAGGGCTGTGTGACATCTGCACGCCCATGTGCTGTCGTGATCCCTGCAAACGAGAGGGTGCCTGACGGGACTGGTGGGAAGAAAGCCCAGGCTGGGCTCCAATATACACCCCTCATGCCCCATCTCATTTTCAGGGATTACACTGTATTTTTTTCAATGTCGTCCATCCATTACTAGCTCAATCAGTATTTGATCCTTTTATGCTTTACAGAAAATCTCTTGCACATCGTGGCATAATTTAATTTCACCAGTGTATTTTGGGTGGTGTACAATAGCAGTGGGACTGCATGGACCCGTAGAAACGATAAAGGCAGAGGCGCCGCGCCTCCCAATAATATCCGGCAGAGTTGAGTAATGAGTTCCGGCTCACGTGGTAATAACAAGGTAGCAAGTGATTCAGCTGTGGGGAAAAAAGCAGACTAAAATCCTAGGAATGCCTATAAGACCACACGCGAGGCAAGGCACGTGCATCTGGCAGAAGTAGGACGCGTCGACGAATGTTCGCTTGTTGGTCCGAAATGGAGGGGTTAGTAGAGTGAAACAAGTGAAGCCATGATAAAAGTTGGGCGTTGCGGTAGTCAGTGAGCGGAGGAGATTTTTACGAGGTGCGACCATTCTCGACTTTTTTTGAGTGCGAAATTGAACCCCTCATACTTATAGGGGTCACGATATTCAGAGAAGGGTGAGGAACATCATGAGCACGAGTGTGCCTTTTAATGTCGTTTCGCTTATTAGCGCGTAACTTCTGCCCTGCCCTTCTCCCTTATCTCTAAGAATGAGAATAGCAGCCGAACGCAGCGTTGACGATTACACAGCCTATTGTCGTGCTTAAAGAACTGCATGGAAGTTATGAGTATTGAAAGTTTCAGGACATTGAGCAGTAAGTCTTCGGTTTCGGATATTCTATCTTGATATTCCTGGTTTGCTCATGCTATGTATGTAAAATCCTTGACGATAGGTCACTTAGGCACGATTTCTGATTTAGTAATTGCATGCCCGTGTTGCCTGAACTTTTATTTGTCGGGCATAAAGATTAAATATAAAATGACCTATTGAAACAATTTTTATTTTAAGAACGATGTTTTCCTCGTTGCCAATGATGTTTAACTTCTTGTTCAAACTCTCGTGGGGAGTCCTCGTCGATAGACTGAAGCGACGAAGAATTCTTACGCCACTAGGAGTGAAAATTCCAGTGCTTTCGTGAGTGGTGTTTCATCCCAAGCACACATGCTAATAGGCTCGAGATGAAGTGAATTTCAGCCACATTTGGTGTGCTGGCAGGCTTAATAATGTAGGGCTGTAGCGCCCTTGTCGCGACGTGCTTATCTGGTTTCTTGTTTCACTAATATGTGCCTTGAGCGACGAGGTTGGTCATTTCCTGCTGAGTTGTCATAGTCCTTTGTTTTGAGATGTTTGTCCCGATTACGTGACGGTTTGTTGCGATCGAGTATCAGTGCTAGAGAATGACTCCAATCGCTTGATCGGCTAACTTTGTGTTTTTTCTGGGTTCTCACCTGCACTACACTCTGTGGACATTGTGAATTACTGATTACAACTTTTGGCATTGTGTGGCTTAGTCGACATTCCGCGCTTCGAAGAGTGACGGCGCAGTGCTTTGTTTTCTGCCTCTGCCCTTGTTTGCGCTCGGGACTCACTGAAAAAGCTATTTGTGTTTAACTCAATGCGAGAGACAGAAAAGTGTTGCCAATAATGCAGAAATGTGCCAAAAAAACATGTAAGAAGGGATGGACCTTTGGAGGAGGGCGAGATGGGTGTGAGTTGGGTGACCACTTATATTTGTTGAAAAAGGTTAAATATGTGAGGTCATCATGACACAGATTCCATAACGGGAGGGAGGAGAGAATAAGAGATCGAGCATTCAAAGCGATCAACTTCAAGTAGTCCGTGGACCGTTTCACTCAAACTGCAAAAGCGGAAAACTCGGCCAGCTTACTCGGTCTATTTGTATTGTCTTTTAGCTTGTGAATCCTAACCTGAGGGAAGTTTGGATTCATTATGTTTCGAGACGCGACATCGCGCAGAAATAGAAGTGTTCCCAAAATCGAAGTGTTGATAAGAACCACCGAAATGAACAAAATGGGCTCTGACGTAAATGCCGCGCACATAGGGAATCTTTCGCCGCTCTCTCTGCACCTCATATGTACTGATCTGCGCCCGTGAAAGTGACAGATCTGTCCTAAAAACTCCTCTATTTTCTTTGTCTTTTTTCTTCCATCTCTAAGGCTATGATACACACCCAGCTAGCTAGCTCTTGTAATATGGCTCTATGGTGTTTTTCAAGCAGATGGGTATGGTTAATTTGAAACAAGACGTTGAGTCGTGTGGGCAACCCTTTCTGTCAGAGCAGTAAATGCTAACCATTCAAATGTTTAGTTATTTCTGCCAAACGAGGTTTTTAGATAGAACCTTTTTATTGGCCCGACGTTTCGACCTTTTCGTCTTCTTCAGAGGCCGAAGGTTCCACTGTGCGGAGTATAGCTCTCGCTGTGTTTTGGTAGGATCAGTAAGGACGAATCTTACCATAATAAGCTAACCATTCAGCCGCCACCTACCCTGCATGACCTCCTCAATAGCGCTTTGCACGCGCTGCACATGAAAAGCTCTCTGAGTATTCCTTGTCGTGCGTGTTTTTAACGAGCGCTCCTGCGCCAAACCCATTCTTAAAAGACAATTTCCCATATGATAATTTGTGGACTTTGGGATCCTAATATGGTTGCCAGTTGACTCACATTTGAGGAGAGGAAAGTCCAAAACCTTCGAAGAAGCCCTAAATTAGGTCGCAGAATTGGAATCGAGGCGCTGCTGCGCTGGCATGAACCAGAGAAAAGGGATAAGCGGGACAAGAAAACAGCCGGAAAAGTGGAAGCGGGCAAGACGACAGAAGTAGACTCTTTACAAAATGAGGGTGCGCGTCACATTTATTATTATTGCGTTCACAATTGGTAATCACAGAATGCGCCTTTCGAACTTCCCGAAGATAGGATAATGTAGTGAAGCTAAACATTTCTATTTCAAAGCGAACTGTTACGCTTAAATCTTGCAACGCAGTAACCACTCTTAACTTTTGTACCAACTGAAAGACTATGTACCCACTCGGACAGCTAATTTTTCAGTGGAGCTTACACGTCGCTACTCTCATTAGCCCCACGCTTCACTCCAACAATGTCATCAATCAGTGTGAGCGTTTCGATGCTGGCTCAACTCACCACTCCCTTCGTGGTCGCTGCCATCATATCTACAGTTCGTTGTTTTACTTTCTATTTGGGCGTTGTTCATTAGTTTACGCAATACTTGCTGGGTTTCTGGTCCTGCTCATCGTTCGTTTGCATGCTGCTCTTCCTGTGATCTCTCATGATTTTTGTGCATCCTACAGTTTCTGTTGGGGTGGTACAATAATCAAGAGCGAACCAACACGAGCAAGAGAGTAAAATAAAACTTTTTGTAAAAGAAATAAATAGTTGATTGAAACGAGGTTCTGCCTGGCCACGCTCGCTCAGACAGCACTCATAGAATTCACGTCATGGAATGCACCCCATGATTTTGAAAGATACGACACGATATTTTCCAAAATGCTGTCATTTATTAGGTTGGTGCATAAGTTCTTAGCCCCGACTTTTTCGTAAATATCTCAATAGCGAACCAACCTGAAGATTAGAGGTATGCACCATCACCATCCACTACTCGACGCCAGCGCTCAGGCAGCTTGTCGATTCCTTCCTTCCAGAACGACGGGCTGGGACTTGAAGAAGTCGTCGAGTGCCTTTCTGACCTGATCCTTTGTTTTTTCCGTCCAGAGAGCGCTGCAGGTGGCTGAACAGCCAGTAGTCAGAAGGAGCGAGGTCAGGGCTGTAGGGGTGGGCGACCATCAGCCATCCGTACTTCTCCAGCTCGGCCTGGGTCGCCTTTGCAGTGTGAGGTCGGGCGTTGTCATGGTGGAAGTAGATTTCCGCATTCGATCCACGAGTACGGTCGACGTGATCTTTCAATTTGCGCAGCTGGGTAACATATGTGGAAGCGTCAATCGTCTGTCCCTTCTCCAGCAGCTCCCAGTACTCCATGCCTCTTCTGGACCACCAACAGGACAGGAGAACCTTTTGGGGTGAAGGTCGGCCTTTGGGGTGGCTTCTGGCTGTTCTCCTTTGTCGACCCACTGCCGCTTCCTCACAGGGTTATCGTAGAGGACCCACTTCTCATCTCCAGTGATCATCGAGTTGAGAAAGTGAAACTTCTTTTGTGAATCGTGAAGCAAAACCAGGCAGTGGCGCAGGTACATTTTGTCACAGTGGAAATTGTGCGACATTGTGGCCTGCAAATGCAAGGTGGGTGAGTGATAGCTAGTGTGATAAAAGAGTATAGTGCCCACGTCACGCACACGTGATGACGATATACCAACATCCATGCAAACGAAATACGGAAGGATCAAACACGTGGCCTAAGAACTTATGCACCAACCTAATAATGCAAATCTCGAAATATTGAAAACTCGATTACGCAAAAGAAGTGTACTGTGCTGTTCAAAAGAAAGTGACCGTTCGCAAAAATATTCAGCGCATCCGAATTTGCACAGCGGGATGTTATTTTGCGCTGGCTCAGTCGCCATGCAGCTCGGGTATATCGATGCAGGAGCAGTTCGCAGTATCTCCTACATACACCCTGCGCTAGACACTGTTCATTTTGCTGTGGTGTTAGTAATAGTACACTCAATGCTTCAATCACTACATCTTCCTTGTTTTAGCGGTCCATCCAGTTTCAGCCTTTGAGCGCGATCGAATCAGACGCGCGACGCAGTCGGTTGCTTGCGCCATCGAGTGCATTGCGTTGAACGCGCAAAAGAAGCGCTGCCGTCGCGAAGTCTGAACGCTGCCTAATGGATTCAGATAGCGCGAAATTCCCCTTGCCCATATTTTAGTTCCTGAGCCTTTGCTGAGAAACGACATCCTTAGAACATTCGAGTATATCAAAATGATACTTCACTTGTTTTTCACAATGTGCTCTTCAAGTTGCTTACAGAATTCTCACATACGAATTTTTCCTGTAACTTCTCAAAATTTAATTTTCGAAATGACAATAGAATCTGCTCTTTCAGGGAACCATGGAGGAGTGGGATAATCTTTTTCTGCTCAGTTCGCTTCTTTGTATTGTCTCCGGAACCGTGTTCTCAATATTTGGATCAGGTCAGCTTTCCTATTCTATTTCACAGGTAGTTGCTGCGAGGGAACTCACGGCTGATGCGCCTTCACCTTACTACTACGATTTCTCCTTGAGAGATGTTTATTTTCCCCCGCTTACAAATGAACACGCTGAGCATTCGACTTCTAGCCATTTCATTCGCAGAAGTTTCTGGAAGCAGAGCTGGTTACTTTGATCGGTACCTGTGTCGTCCTGTCCTAACAAAAGTAGCCTTAATCAGGCTTCAGGGTGTAGTCCATTATATCCGAGGGGGATGGAATTATGGATATAGTTCAATTTAATCATAACGCGCAAAATAGTGCTCCATAGCTACCTAACTGGTGTCCTACATGTATTCAAAGCAAATAGGTTATAGTGCAAATGCAGCACCATTTCCAATGCTTTTTCCGTTGACTCATCGCAAGGCGACTGAGCTTTTCCGCACCTTATCCTATGTATGTAGTTTCAAACGCAGAGAGCAAGGGCGATGACCCATTCGCAGAACCTAACTTCTCCGAAGAAGGGACAAAAACTTCCGAAATGAGGCTCTCAAGTTTCAGGTGAAGTGCAAGAGTTTGCTAAGTCTTCAAAGAACATCCCCTCATTGGAATCTAATAACATTTTGCTGACGCCGCTTCGTGCCGGTACACTACGAGCTGATTCGATTTCGATGCTGTGACTGCAACCTCGACCCGAGCATAAAAGTTGTATAGTTTTCATTCATCGCTAATAAAATTTATCTTGTGGGTAGTAGAGAACTACATCAGCCTTGAAGTAAGGGACAACAAATGACGATTGTCCGTCAAAAAGCTATCAGCGGAATTCACAGTATGATGAGACTGAGCAGCAGAAAGAAGCGGTTTGGGAGACGTCTTTTTTCATTCTTTCTTCATTTGCAATTCGAATTTGTACTTATTGTAAAATAGGACTTAATAGGGTGTAGGTATTTTTTCTTGAACTTGTAGAACTCTAGCGAGCTTGAACACTTCATCGGCTCACATTTTTTTGCGTGGCCGCCTTCATCAAAGCCTGAAATGGTTGAAGCGATTTGAGACTATCCGAGCAGTCGTCTCTGCAGTAATGTGCCTCTGCCCCAGTGATAGAGCTGTCTTACAGAGGAAGCTCGGTGACCTCTGCAACCCATCAGATCTCATAGCGTGACCGTTTTCCCGTGGATCAATCAAGTTGCACATCACCACATTCATGCTTCTCCGAATATTGGGTCAGCGTACTGAGAGCTTCCTTTGTCGAACAACGCATAACTGCTGTTGGAATTGGGATCTGTTTCTCTCCATCTCCGCCCCGCATAAGATCTGTGCAAAATTATATGCAACCTGCATAAGCTCCAATATCGGCTCCGTTACAGGGCAGGAATTGACACCGGTTCTTCTGCACCTGATCAGACTGCTAATGTACTAATGTGTCTTTGCCTGTCACGCATTTCAAACAACAGGAGCCAAATTCAGTGCCGACATCAGTTTCAGAATCTTTGCTGATGAGGAACTCAAAGTGCTCAGTAGGTCACAACAACGCAAGGTGCCACCAAACGTCACGCGAGAGCAAATGGGTGGTCTCAGGCATATTCGGACCTGTAATGTGCAGCAATGTAGGGTTTGCCGTCAGTGACCACTGGAGAGAGTCGCAACAAATCGCTTTCAGGCTCTGATGGTGGTTTCATCGAAAGGTACGTAAGCCGATGAAGTGTTCTCCTAACCTCACACGAGTTCTGCAGAAGAGGACTTGTACTACTAGCACTATGCCCATGAATATTGAGAGCCGTGCTTGGAGTCGGCTTAACAATGATGTGTGTGCTTACAAGCATCAATTTCATGGGACCTAGGGGATGTTGTTCTGAAAATTTCTGGTGCACACGACACTGCCAATGGATAGATCGACTTTTGCCAGCCCACGCAATTATCTTTCTGCTTGCTATTTAGATCGGAACCGCGGTTTATTGCCCTAGCACGGCGTTGAGTTAATCATCATGTCCAAAGTAAAAGGCTGAAATTCAAGGAAACATGCAGCTGTGGATGAGAGTGTAGGCATGTACTTTAGCAAGAGGGGCAGTCCGAAGCACAAAGCAAGTTAAGCGTCTTACTCTCCGCAGTTCAGAAGCGTATATTTCACACTGCTCGCATTTTGCTGTGATATCAAAGAAGCTAAACGCTCAGCAGAGGGGAAGGCATGCTTTGATAGCCACGGCAAGTTGCACAGCAAATTTGAACGTTTTCCTCCGTGCAACAGAAATCAGAGCTCTCAGCTCAGGTTTCAACAATTGGGTAACCCACGTGCACAATGACGATGGCCTTCATGTGATTGATGGAAACTAAATGCTCTGCGCGCTTCAGAAGGCAAGGAATCACTTCCAGACGCATCACTACATTAGCTGCAGTAAAAACACGATTCTTGGGGAATTCAATATTTATTGAGCAGCAAGATACATGCTGTGGCAAATAGATTAATGTCAGTTTGATAAGTATACAAGAAATAAAGAAGGCATAATTTAAGGTGAGGTACACAGTATCCCTCACAACGGTGGGTGTGGTCGTCAGACAGGGGCAAACTTAAGTTAATTTATTTTTTTATTCATTGACAAGCAAATGGAATGTTTAATACTGAAGAATATTACAAGAAGTATGGTTTCATTTCCTCTGCCACTGAGCCTAACCATCCTCTTTGGTATGAGTAGGTGGCACATAATCTTTGAGAAGTTCACTGGTACACCTGAAAACATTTGGAAGCATTGATGGTTGTTTTACGTATAGGAGCAAATTAATTGGCGGCGATTGCTTCATGCTTACAAAATCCCCGGTTATATAAACCACGGCGATCGTCTGTTTGTTTGTTTATCTGCCTGACGTGAAGCGCCGTCGTAGCGCCCGTCGCACTGGAACTTCGATTCCAAGAGCTGTTATAGGGGTGGGACGGGAATACTGGGGATATTGTTGATGGGTGAGAGAAGGTAATAGCAATTGAGAAAGGCTGATAAGGGAATGGTCGTGAGAGAAAGAGACGCTCACCACGTCCGCAGGGCGCATGGTCGTAGCAGTGGTTCCAAGAAGCGAATAGTGTCGTGAACGGGCGAGACAGAAGGGGAGAGCGTTGGCGCTCATCCCGGGCCACGCAAAACGTGAGGGCCCTACGATGCGTCGCCCCTGGAGGATGTTTTACTGCGTGCAAATGGCTACCACTCACAGGGGCCCATACCTGTGACAGCACTATCTATGCAACAAGCACATTCATCACTCACATTCGCTAACATTCATATGCTAACTGCACAATTATTATACACGAATAGATGATGCAATACAATTGAATAAGATTAAAATATGATAAGAGAGGAAAATTAATGACTGAGAACATGGCCTAATCGGATGGAAGATGAGGCCTAGGTACACACCGGGTTTACCAGGCCATGGGTGAGACGGAGGAGTCGGAAAGGCTGTACGTTAAGGTCCCCAATGAGGACGATCGCCTTTGCCTCTGAATGTGCCAGGTTCTGCACGTTTCTCAAGAGCTGTACTTTCCTCCCCTTTCGCGCTCGATGGCAGCTTTCTATTGAACTGGAGAATTTTCTCGAAACCTGGGTAAAAAAGTGAACATCCCTAAAGCACTCTCCCCTTTACTGTATGCATGCACAAACTGAGATCGGCATATACCAATTTAAAACAGTTCGGACAGTTTTTCCGCCTTTTTCGCCACTAATCAGTCACTGTGTCGTTCGTGTTGAGTTCCATCATCCACTTCTCTCTCTTCTGGGTCGCACGCTTTGCCTAACGACTGAATCTGCTGACGCGCGCTGTTGTTCTCCGCGTTTGTGGCTTCTTCCTTCTTTCGAACTGATGTTTACTATAGCATGGTTTTTTTCCGACGCATACCATGAAAACTTCCAAGGTCGTACGCAAGCCGCGACATAGAGGATGGAACGGGAGCAACAATGGTGACAAGAAGTGATAACTGGTGTAGCTAAACTGCAATTTTTTTCCAAACATCTTTGTTTGTTGCTAACATACGGGGGGGGGCAAAAAAAAGCTGACTTTCGAGGCGCTATAAGTTACACTTTATTAATTCTGATCGGACATTTTTACCACCATATTAAAGAGCATATTAAATACTATCATGACACTCCGCCACAGCCTTCTGGACGAGCGCCATCGAGAGATTCTGGCACGCGACCGCGATGTGGTGCCTGAGATCAGCGAGATAGTCGATTTCTCCGCCACCGTAGACCACCCTATTGAACTCCGCCCGAACCGGGTAATTGAGGGGATTCAGGTCAGGTGACCTACTTGGATATTCCACCTTCTTTAGGTACTCAGCCCCCTTCCATTCCAAGTAGGCGAGAGTTTCTCCAATGCCCTTCGATTCCATGTGGTGGCACCCAATGCTGTAGCAGTACAAAGTTTCCAAGAAGGTACGGGCGACGACATGTGAGGAGGATATTCTTCACGAGTTGCTCGATGTAACCGCCAGCGCTCACCTTCAGTCCGGGGTCCACGAAGAAAATATTGGTCTTTCCATTCCAGGTCCGGTCCATACCATCAACCCGCGCCTTGGCGACTGTGGTGAAGATGATGTCCTAGACCGTGGCGACGTTGTCGGAGCTGCTCGATGTTGGAGGATCATCCAGATCGAGAGTACGGTCTCCAGGTACATATCCATGGGTGACTCCTACTAGACTAGACTATACTAGAGGTTTCGTAGCTGGAGGTGACATGAATTCCAAAGGTCTTCTCCAGTCAGGCTGCGACTGGAGATGACTTCATATTTTGGTGTACATGAAGGTGATGGGCGAGAGCCAGCTCCTGCTTATAGAGGAACATCTTGGGTATCTTCCGCCCTGGTACTCGTATCCACGTCCTCTGTCTGGGCAGCGAAAACTTTGCTGATATGTTCTGTCGAAGTGACTTTTTGCCCCTCCTGTATGATTCCAAAGAGGTTTGCCAGTGAACATACGGCGGCCGTCATTCATCGATGGTAGTCATATTGGCGACACCACTCTGTTCGCGCAGGAAGTACTGCATATAAGCGAGGCACGTAGCATCCAGTATTCTTCTGCTGCTCGTTTTTTTCGAGCCATCAGAATTCGAAGGAACAAAAGAAATAAAGAAGAATCACGCAGTATTACGGCTACGTTGCTACTCTTGCACGACAACATGAAACTACACAAGCGACGCGGATCGATATAAGCTGAGGTTCTTTCCCACTTACCGTATACTACGGACACTTCGCCTACGTACTATTTCCTACGCCTTTGCAAATTACCTTCAGGAACATACGGCGGCAATTGCCATGACCTAACGAACAATCTAGAACGACATTTCAACTCACTGCTCACTCGTTTGTTGCATTCTCTCACGGCTTGGGAGGAAAACGAATTTAGCTGTTTATGCCCAAGTAACGTCAGTTCAAATAAAGGCTCGAATTCGCCAACATTGCATAAGAAACGTATTTTGGACATCCTCGAGCTTACTTATTTTCATGTATCTAGGGTCATACGAAAACAATGTATAAAGACCAGTCGGTGTGTTCTTCTAGGAGAGACATCTTTGAATCATGAGTATAAGCTTACGTAGTAGCCAGCTTCGACTAATCTGAATGCTCGAGAGCAAACTTACCTATTGATCGTTTTAACGTTTTTCTCATACACGTTTGGGTCCGCTTTAATGCTTTTGCTTGCTTTATATCTCTGAAGATAACCTAATGACTACGTGAGTTGGAAGTGGGTACATATTACATACTGTTTACTTGAACCCACATCTGTTTCTTCCCATTCATATGGACTTAAAAGGCTGATATTGTTTCGATTCAAATATTTGAGCAGCTGGTAACGTAAATCAGATGCCTTAAAAATGAAGCTTATCGCAGAAGCTTGAAAGGTACTCATTTCTCGAGGTGTCTTTGTTCTGCTCTCCTTTGTTTTTGTTTGATGTTTTCCTTCTCTGTGTTTTTGTTATTGTCTTGAAGGCGAAACAAAAGACACCTCGAGAACCTTCAATTATTAATAGAAAATCATTTGTCAACAGAAAATCATACCTTGTAGCTTGATTTATTCATAATGCCGCAAATGTTGCGCACTTCTGGCGGAACTTTTGATAGTCCACTTCCTCGGCGAGCTGGAATGCGTTTTTGACACATTGGCAAAGCGGCATACTGATCTTAGAATGAATTACGCGTAAAGAATCCACTTGTGCTCATTTCATTGACAACACTTCGTGAATCATGGCGCTTTGCAACCTTTTCATTGCTTCTTCGCGCTAGACACTAACTACCAATCAGGCTACCCTGCTTCACTTACACACGATCTAATACACCGCAATAAAAAACAGTATACATGAAATGATGGCAATAGTGGCATTAATACATAAACGCCATACCTGAAATAAAATGTATGAGATTGATTATACCTAGCATCGAAGGCGTGGTCGGATTAGCAGACTTGACGGTGGGAGTCCATCGGTGTCGGCGGCTGTTCTTCGTTCTCTCGCATTGTGTCTATACTGGCCTGACGAAGGCGATGAGGCCCTCTCCCAGACGGGAAGTGGAGGTGGGGCATCGATGAGTCTTCGAGAACGTTCCGCCACCGCAAGGGCCAGAGAATACTATTCCCATTCCGTCATCGGGCAACACTATGACGTTATCCGCTGAAGACCGTCGCCGTGGCGCAGTAGCGGTTGAGCACAGATGATTATGAGCTGTTGCTCTCAAGGGCTACGGTCGCTTTGTGACGAATAGGTTCCTTACTAAGGAAGTGCTCGGCAGTTTGATTAGCCTTTTTATTCTCTACTAATTCACCTACCGCAGCTCTACAGCTTGAAAATTGAGATCACGAGCGTTGTCTTCAAGAGCATAGGTGGCACAGTAGAGGGGCGTAGTGGTGCGAATCAACCCGTTTGCGGCTTATCTTTTGCTGTGCTCACTGCGGCTCGGATGTGCTACGTCATGCCCGTGTAAGGGAGTTGCGCGCCAAGGTCTTACTGCTCATCGTCGGTCTTCATTCACATGTGTCCCGCTGAGGCTGAAAATTTGGGCGATGATGTTTCACTACCCCTCTCTTGACGTCATTGGCGATCTTTCTGCGGAAGATGATGATGGAGGTGAGCCCATGAAGAATGCTCATATAACAGTGATATAAAAGTCCCGTTCGAACCGCAATCAATATCAATACACAGTGCGGCAGTTCAGCCACTCTTTGCGCTTTTGCTGGGAAAGATTTAGAAAGAGTTATAAGCAACAATGTGCAGCTGCAAATTTCATGGAAGGCGTTCAAGTCAAACCTTCGTTACTTGTAACCCTTTTTCCACTCAATCTGTGAGCTGTTTCTGGATATCTAAGTTGGTCATCTGTTGAGGATACGTTAGCCTGTGCCTGCACCTCATTCAACAAATGCCGCACGAGGCGGTTGAATGAGGTGCAGGCACAGGCTAACAATTGGGTTGCAATTTTGCTGTGCTTACGCTTGATTATGTTGTTCTATGTAGCTGTGACGAAAGATTAGGGGTCTAACTGGATTTTCGCTCCTATAAGTACTGGCAGAATTATTCCGAGGTACCTATCAAACTTGCACTCCTTGCAGCTTTCCAACCGCTGCTCGACTATCCTTACAAGCACTAGATGCAGTGACAATGTTGCACTCTATAAAAATGCTCCACACCCGTGTCGAACCAGCTCATTTCTGTATTGGAACAGATCACAGAAGAAACGTGTTATACTTAGTTGGCTTAGGACATATTACGACCTTCAGCAAAACTCCTACATGGTGAGTTCTGGTCTAATAACCTTTAGTAGCTCTAAGGAATAAACCTTGATGATCATTCGAGCATAGCCGGGCCTACCTTTGGTTCTTTCTGGCATGCTTCGTAAAAATCTTATCTTCTTAGAAGGAGTGGGCGCATCAAAGCAAACAATATACTGATTTGTTTATTGGTTTACCGTTGCCGTTTCGACCGTTCACTTGTCCCTATTTCTAGCAAGTGGTAGATTTCAAAAAAGTGTTCAGGAAACTGAACAATGATCATTAATAAGGGGAAGAATAGATAGGATAGATAGGTATCTCAGGAACAGAAGTTAGGCAGTGTTCAGAGGCCAGATATGCTGTCAGTTATTAGTTCCAAAGCGTTCAGTCAGCAAGACTGACAGAACGAATATCGGATTATCGAGAGGCTACTGCTTCGTTAGAAAGTGGTTCATGAAGCGTTAGAGAACGGCGACCATACTCCTCCACTGCATGCGTTGCTATTAAATGCATACTTTGATCTACTGTATTTTCTAGGAACCGCAAGGCGCAATATGCCCCGAGACCTTTCGTAACTAAGAATTTAGCAAATATGGAGTTGGAGTGTTGGTATGTTCCTGTCACTAGGCTTTGTAATAGGACGCCGGCTACCACTCGAAGACACATTTCGCGATTATTCATTTCAATCAAACCATGTGCGGGAAAGGTAGTGTGGATGACTGTGAGTATCCTTGCTTTCACAAGAGAAAATTGTAAAGTAGGCTTTTAAGACGCAATATTGCTTACGTGATTCCACGCCGACTCTGGTGTCTGTGGTCTCGCACGTTTTTACGCTGTTTCACCAAGGTTGTCTACTCTTTCCCAACTGAACCCAATGAATTTTCGACCGCGCAACAAATAAGGCCTTATCGGCTTGTTTTCTTGGCTTTCGTCCTTTTTTTATTTTTTTCTGTTTCGAATCAACTAGCACACAACCTGCCACTCGTAATCGTGAAATGTATCTTTGACGACCTAGTTCCACAACGACCTGCAAGTCTTGAGGCTACCTTCGGTTTCCTCGAGGTTACAAGGCGTAAGAAGCAGGTGGCTCTGAAGGTCTCGGAACTGTTCATCAATTTTCTTCAAGGTTCTTGACTATAATGGACTTATTCGACCGAAACTCACTACCATGGAATAAATACAAGAACATGACTAGAGAAACAATAGAGGAAAGAAAAATGCTTCTCTTCTCTGCCCCTATGGGAGGATCAAGTGCGTATTATGAAAATTCTTTTCTAGCTTTAAGATCCGTACCACTGGTCAGCTTTCCTTCAGTATTCGCACTGCAGTTTTTTTTGCTAGCAAAATTGTTCATTTCTTTGGCATTTTTGTCCTACTGTATATGGTAATAATACGCAAGGATATGAAAAGGGAAACAATAGGGGAGAGGAAGATACTTTCATTTTCTATTCCGTATGAGTATCAAGTGCCCATCGTAGAAATTAGCCTCTAGCTACGAGATTTATATCACTGGTCAAATTTCCTTCCGATCAGTGCAGTTTTTTTTATTTTGAACGCTAAAAATATGATGCAAGCATTTAAGCAAATTCGTTTACCACGGTATGAGGCAAAGTAAGGCCTTTTGTTGAAAAAAAATAAAAATAAAAAAAATAATATAAATAATATAAATAAAATAAAATATAGCTGAAAGGTGCAAAGTCACGCACGTAAGTGTACGAAGTGTGAAAGTTCAGAACAGTTGGTGCGTATCTCTCGCCTGAAGCAGGACCTCTTTTCTCCTAAGACGTCTATACAATTCGAAAAGCGCTGACAGTGGTCAGATCCCAACCTATTACTTTTCCAGGATTCCTTGTATCGGTTGCTTTGATTCAGTCATAAATCGTTTTATTAGTTTGAAATTAATCAATTAATTAATTAATTAGCTCGGAAGAGTTTGAAAGACTACTCGAAAAAATGTGGCAGCACAATCCCTGAGCAGGCACCGGTTCAGATTCCCCACCCCTAAGATTTTATGGAGAAGAGCTGGACAATTTTTGCACTCAAAGGGCGGACAAACACGCGCGTTCCATAGTTCCAGAAGAAACGGTTTATAACTGAGATAAAAAACAATTTTGAAAGTAAAAAATCAAAATATCAAGAAATCCCGGCAAAAAAGTTTCCGCACGTGACCAATTCCCAACTCTCTGTAGCGGTAAGCGCTTTAATCGAGCTTCAAGAGCAATTGAAGTCAGAGAACGCGACTGACTCGAGTGCAGAAGCCCTTCTTTGAACCTGGTGGAGCGGTCTGCTACTGCAAAGGGGGTTCCACCTTTCGGACTTACTTAGTAGGAGCACCACGCTCTGTCACGCCTTGTCATCTGCGCTCCTCCCCTTATGATCTTCGTCCTTACTATCGTTCCACTAATGCTGTAAAACAGTTTGATCTGATCCTTTTGTGTATTCTCTTGCTACACTAACATCTGTGTCTTCTTCCTGTTCAATGTGCTCATTTGTGTCTTCTTCTTGCTAGATGTGCTCAAAGTCTCTTAGCTATAAAGTCATATATAATGCTTAGAGCCAACTGGGGTCTTGTAAAGTGGGTTTTCAATGTTTTTTTTCTTTCACCAAATTGTTGAGTCACTATGAAGTTCATATCTGAACCCGACTGGCCACGAATAGGAGCCCCCACTCCGTCTCTAGAAGAAAGTCGACAGTTACAGCGCTGTAGTGGTTGATCGCACATGAAGTATAACCTTTACCCCAAAAATTACATAGCTTTCTCCACAAAAACACCAAGCTCTTCTCACGTGAAATATCTGCTACTACATACAATGCCTTCTCAACCATCTTGACAAGTGAACGGTCGAAACGGCAACGGTAAACCAATAAACAAATCAGTATATTGTTTGCTTTGATGCGCCCACTCCTTCTAAGAAGATAAGATTTTTACGAAGCATGCCAGAAAGAACCAAAGGTAGGCCCGGCTATGCTCGAATGATCATCAAGGTTTATTCCTTAGAGCTACTAAAGGTTATTAGACCAGAACTCACCATGTAGGAGTTTTGCTGAAGGTCGTAATATGTCCTAAGCCAACTAAGTATAACACGTTTCTTCTGTGATCTGTTCCAATACAGAAATGAGCTGGTTCGACACGGGTGTGGAGCATTTTTATAGAGTGCAACATTGTCACTGCATCTAGTGCTTGTAAGGATAGTCGAGCAGCGGTTGGAAAGCTGCAAGGAGTGCAAGTTTGATAGGTACCTCGGAATAATTCTGCCAGTACTTATAGGAGCGAAAATCCAGTTAGACCCCTAATCTTTCGTCACAGCTACATAGAACAACATAATCAAGCGTAAGCACAGCAAAATTGCAACCCAATTGTTAGCCTGTGCCTGCACCTCATTCAACCGCCTCGTGCGGCATTTGTTGAATGAGGTGCAGGCACAGGCTAACGTATCCTCAACAGATGACCAACTTAGATATCCAGAAACAGCTCACAGATTGAGTGGAAAAAGGGTTACAAGTAACGAAGGTTTGACTTGAACGCCTTCCATGAAATTTGCAGCTGCACATTGTTGCTTATAACTCTTTCTAAATCTTTCCCAGCAAAAGCGCAAAGAGTGGCTGAACTGCCGCACTGTGTATTGATATTGATTGCGGTTCGAACGGGACTTTTATATCACTGTTATATGAGCATTCTTCATGGGCTCACCGAAAATTCCGCAGAAAGATCGCCAATGACGTCAAGAGAGGGGTAGTGAAACATCATCGCCCAAATTTTCAGCCTCAGCGGGACACATGTGAATGAAGACCGACGATGAGCAGTAAGACCTTGGCGCGCAACTCCCTTACACGGGCATGACGTAGCACATCCGAGCCGCAGTGAGCACAGCAAAAGATAAGCCGCAAACGGGTTGATTCGCACCACTACGCCCCTCTACTGTGCCACCTATGCTCTTGAAGACAACGCTCGTGATCTCAATTTTCAAGCTGTAGAGCTGCGGTAGGTGAATTAGTAGAGAATAAAAAGGCTAATCAAACTGCCGAGCACTTCCTTAGTAAGGAACCTATTCGTCACAAAGCGACCGTAGCCCTTGAGAGCAACAGCTCATAATCATCTGTGCTCAACCGCTACTGCGCCACGGCGACGGTCTTCAGCGGATAACGTCATAGTGTTGCCCGATGACGGAATGGGAATAGTATTCTCTGGCCCTTGCGGTGGCGGAACGTTCTCGAAGACTCATCGATGCCCCACCTCCACTTCCCGTCTGGGAGAGGGCCTCATCGCCTTCGTCAGGCCAGTATAGACCACATGGAGAACGAAGAACACCGCCGACCCGATGGACTCCCAGCGTCAGTCTGCTATTCGGCACTGCCTTCGAGCTAGCGTATAATCAATCATACATTTATTTACAGTATGGGGTTATGTATTAATGCCCACTATTGCCATCATTTCATGTATACTGTTTTTTTATTGCGGTGTATTAGATCGTGTGTAAGTGAAGCAGGGTAGCCTGATTGGTAGTTAGTGTCTAGCGCGAAGAAGCAATGAAAAGGTTGCAAAGCGCCATGATTCACGAAGTGTTGTCAGCTCTTCTCGTCAGGGGGTGGAGGCAGGAAGTATGGTGTGGATGTTATGGGATATGCTGCAGAAGACGTCGCACGGCGAGTTTGAGTGCATTGACTGCCGGTGCCAACTGCGCACACAGGAGTAACGCCCGTTTTAGCTTTGAGCATTATATGAGCATGTGGCTCAGAGACACTTTGTAAAAGAAATACAGGTAGCGGTATGGCTAAAGAATATCAAAAGATATGGACAAGAAAGGATGAAGCATCGAGACCACCCCGCTATATAGGGATAGTAAAACGGAAGGTCGGTAAACTCACTGAGGAGAAGTTGGGTTTCAGCCAAGCCTTGCGCCTTTGTCAGACGCTTTCGAGCTGTCAAAGTGGAACATGCTTTGCATGCATGCGTGCCGTGCCTTCTCGTGCAAGCAAGGGTTTCTGCCCCTCGGGCACTCGCAGATGTAGTCTTCAAGGCTACCTCGGCATACCATTACGCTGAAGGGAAGATTCCTGAACGGATTTTGGAATGAATCACTCACACGTCTCCTATCTGAAAGTCAGGAAGCTGACTCGCAACAATCACTGACACCCATTTTGAGGCATCAAAGGTGCTGAACACTTCCTCGTAGGTGATGCAGCAGTCTAGTTCTGGAATTTTCCAACGACTGTCCCAATCTGTGCGGAAAGTTCTTTGATTATGCGTTGTCGCGCAGTAGGTCCTTTTCAATGATCTTGGTCATCTTTCCTGAACTTCGTCGTCCATTTGCTGGAGTCAAACAGTCTGGCCTGCAGCTGCGATAGTATTTTCTCTCTCCATCAATTTTTAGTAGACCGTTTTTTCCACCAGATCAAACTGGTTACGTACCTTGGGGTTAGATTTTCCTTAGGCAAAGCGAGTAGACTCAGAGATTGAACGAAGAGCAACCCCAACATCAAAGGAGCTGTAGACGGTACCGGAATCAGCGCTCTCCACCAGTCGTAGCTGACGATGTTAATGCTATCCAGTATGACAATGCTTACGCATCGAAAGCTTCGAGAACGTTCCACAAAATTATCACACTTGCTAACATATTTTTTTATTTTTCTTGCCTACTAGAATGAAAGGAAAGTCCCGCGACACAGTGACCGAAATTCGAATTTTCCTTCACTAAGAGACATCATCAGTCTACAACGTAATCACCATTAGTAACTAGGACTATTGCCCACCTTTACCGCTTCGCGACTCCACTCTCGTAGAACTACGGCATCTACGACGAAAAAAAAGAGGTGGACCTCCATTTCGAGTGGACGTTGATTTTCGGAATTTTTCCTTTTTGTGGGATGCAGTAGAAATCAGAGAAGGAGGAAATCAGAGGCTGCTGGTTTGGTCAATAAGCTGGGTTCGGTCGCACTCCCCGATCAAGACCATAAACTTTTGGAATAGCCTTATCACTACATGCGGTCTTCACATTGCCGAGCAGTGGAGTGAAAATGAGCGTTTCTGAATGAGTTCAAGTGTGACGTCATCCATATTCTAAAGCTGGTTAGAGTAGACTGCATTTGTCTTATCTGTGCCAGTACCGTGCGACATCGCTTCGAAGTCCTACCAGTAACAGAGTGAAATCTTTATTCCATGCACGTTGCATTTGGCGAAGCAAGCTACTTTTCCCCCTGGGAGATCCTGTGAGGGGTGTGTGCATAGTTTACGCAAGGACTCCAACACTCGCTTCCAACCACAAGATCTTACAAAAGTTCCTCCAACGTGTGCATAAAAAAACAGCCACGACTATGCTGTGCACTTTGTCAAACTGTTCCACCTCATGTGGCATCTTTCAGAGAAAATTTTCCTTACAACCGAGCTGCGGAGAAGCATGATAGACCTGATAGAGCTCTTACACTTCTCGGGTTCCTGCGGGGAACCCCACTCAAAGGGGCGGAGAGCACACATTGTACCTAACCTGTGCATGATAATTCAAAAGATGTAGCTCGTGTGAACATGCGTGACGAGCTTCATTTTGTCGTGGGAGAGGACAGATTTGCTAAACGTTCGATCTTTCCCACGGAGCATTGAAAAACTTACGAGAATTCTGACTTTATTTCGTCTCTCAACTGATCGAGATTAGGTCCTAACAGGGGCAATATCATGAATTTATACTTCTTCGAATGACCATAGTCACAAATAGGTTGTAAGTGGTCGCTGTTGTGGACCTGTTGTGAAGTGAATCTATTGTGAAGGGGAACAATAGAGGTCTGCCACAACAAGTTACAGTACCTGATCGCGCCATCGTTTCTGGAACTCGACAAGAAATCTAATCTCATTCTGAAATTGTGTTTCTTCTAAACAGTCAATCTAAATGTGTAAGCCAGCATAACTCACAGCGAGAGCGAAACCCGTGCTTTCTGAGTTTACACCTGCATTTTCCGCCTTCATTGCCATTTTCACGATTGATCCTCCTTCCAGAAGCTTATGCACCAGGTATACTGTACTCGACGTTCCGGCTACTAACGGTTCACAATTTTCGTAACTGAATTCCAGGACATACGGTCTCGAGGATGTTCTTATGCGGTCGGCGACCCCCCGGACTTTTCCTTAATGGAAGAAGCTTCGAAGGGATGCCACGTATAGATGCTTACTTCGGCTGTGTCGCGTAATTAGTGCGCTTTATATCGGTTACCGTACCACTTCTGTGGCTTTTTGAGAGGCTGTGACTTCATCGCAAAATGACTCTTCGCAAAATGATGAGAACGATTTCCGTTTTGCTCAGAAAGCTCCTAACTAGCCGCGTAGGAGATTCGCGGTCTAATAGTTTCGAAATTTGTAGGAGGCAAATTTTTATGCGCACGCATTTCTTAGTCTTCAGTGAGCCTACAGTTTGACTCAACCATAACCCGAGAGCAAATACAAAAGCTCCTTCAAAAAGTAGGCGACTTCCGAAATCTGTTCTGAAGGGTAGTTTAAATACAATTATTAGGTTGGCGGGGAAGTTCTGCCACATTTTTTTTAACCTCGAAGTACTTGTCCATTACCTGGAGAGGGGTAACCGGTAATGTGAGCACTTATGCAATAAGGAGTGGTCTTTCTATTAGTGCCACTCGCTTGACTCCTGCTTCTTCTTCTTCTGTAATATGAACAAGGATTTTATCTACCATCGGCACCGACCCCTCCAGACGCTTCCTCAAGCTTTTTCTTCCACCACCCTAACGCCAGCATGATAGCTGCAGATGCCAAAATAATGGAGCTGAATAAGGACGATGCCCTCAATTATCGGACAACCTTCCACGACGCTAATGCTGAGATGGAAGCCTACAGTTTTGATGACAAATGAGGTTTGGGTTACATGTGAACTCAGATTGAGGGAGCTGCGATCGTAGCTGCTTGCGTACGCATTGACGAGGAAGTGGCTTCTCATCTGAAGAAGCTACCTCCTCGTCAATGCGTACGCAAAGCAGCTACGAGATCTAAAGCGTACCGTCGATCAGAGGGAAAAATTTGTCCGCACAGCCCGCCCTCATCATGATAGTGCAGCGCACTCCGTCCAAAAAAGTTCGAGCCGTACCTCATGCAATAGAGCTGGATGGCTCTCCCCTTGCACTGGTGTAGCACAGACATTGCTCCTTCTAACTGCTAGTTGCCTCCCGTACTCAATCGTTATGTGGACGAGAAAACCTCCATAACCCGAGTTCAAGTCAAGATTGAGATGATGTCCAACTTTGCGTCGCGCCTCCCTGCATTGTGAAGCGATGGCATCCATGAGGTGCTCAAAAACTGGCAAGAACCCGCGGTGACATTGCTGTATAGTTTTGTTCTTACACGATAAAAAGAGAGCCTAATTTGGAAAATGTGGCAAAACTTTCCCGCCAACCTGATACAAATTTCTCTCTCGAACCCTTCTCCCGAATACAAATTTCGTATCCGTTTGACGAGAAACGTGCAGCCTGCTCCACGCTCGACAAGTGGTGGCACAGGCCATCATAAAACATCGTTCGCTAGAATCACTGGGAGCTTGTCTCCGGGGGTGGTTTAACTTGAAAAATGCGAATATTATGCCTTTCAGAACTTTCCAAGTTGTTATCATCAGCATCCAACGTTGACATCAGCCTTTCAAAACTTTCCAATTTCTCAAGGCGTTCCAAGTCCAAGAACTTGACCCACGCGCTTTGTCAGGTCGCTTCTTCAAAGGAACGTCAAAAGTGGAAGCGAAAGCTCCTATTGGGGACAAAGTAAAAACTTTCGAGTCAACTGGTCGGGCAGCATAGTGTTAGCTTCTCGCCTGCAAATCGAGACCGCTAACACTATGCCACTGTGGCACCGCCAAAGTTCGACCACCTAAAACTTGTTTGAGAGACATCCATAGCACATTTGATCCGCATATCCATAATCAGCATTTAGGACTAGTACCTGGGGTCTCCGTTGGAAGTACCGCGAATAGTTGAAACCGTTCCATTGTAATCGTCCCAGTAAGGATTAGCATAAGGAAGGATTAGATTAGCATGCCGACCACCCTCCCGCCAAAAGCCGCCCTCTCATAAATGGCCGTCTCGGCCAGCAAATGATCGCAATCGGATCAGCCGTTTTCACCTAGAACCTTCTTCAGTGCCTTACGAGGGCTGTTAGGTGAAGCATTCTATTCTTGTTGAAATAAATCCGATATGCAAAAAAACGAAATTGTCACGAGCTTCACACACCATATAGCCTCGTACATGAGCAAAAGGGAAGACGGCCGATTCTATTGTGGGCTCATGAGGTCACGCCGCCCACGACGTACCGTGCCGCGAATGACGCGACAAGTTCAGAGTTCCTCTGACGTTTGAGAAACCGTCGTTGAATTCAACGATGTCCTGTAGCTCACAGCATCATACTGAATATCACAATCCACCATCAAATCGTGTTCATCAATATCAGTCTTCAGTGATGAATTCCCTGTGATTCAGTGGTGGTTTCCTAGTCTTTCCCTCCCAATATTAGTTCCACTGGAATTCTTCGAGGATGCTTATATCCTTTATGGGCTGCTCCTAATAGTAGTTTTCCGTGACTATACAGCTGAACCGTGAAGAAAAAATTTTTTAGTGGTGAAGATGTATCGTAGTTCTTGCAACGTCTACGAATGGAAGCGATTGCGTGTGGTGAAACAGGGCGGGTAGATCAACGCTCTCATCCCCAAAAGAATATCAATATATTTCACCTTTCTACGATGCTAGCTACATCTGGAACTCAAACTATCAGTGGCGAGGCGTCGCTTGTCCGCTCGCGTGGTGACCGAGCTGAGCGCACGACTGGATCGCCACACACCCATACTTCTCTGACTTGAGACACCCTAAGATGAAGCATGAAAACAACGCTGATGTACAAATCCCTTTGCAGCGCTTTCCTTGCAGTGATGTAAACAGGGCACTTTTTGGAAACTCATCCTCTTTTCCATTTTGCGAGCATTTTTGCGAACAAGCTGCCTACCTCGCCTTCTTTTTGCTTCTTATAATCACTTTCCCTGTTTGCTCTTCCTCTTCGGCGTCCTCTAACACGAGCTCTTTGTTTTCGTTTAGCGACACATCGCTTTTCACTTTCTGAAAAGTGACAGTTGTTGAAGTCAAATGTCGCTACAGTATCCAATACGTAAAAGCGCTGAGTGGAGTTGCGCGTGCTGCCTGACCACTCACTGAAGTAGTTATAAGCAGATTTTGTCTGCAACTTTCTGATAGCTCTTTCTCATGGCATTAGTTTTGACTAGTTGACGGGTGTACTGGCTACTGGAGAAGCAAAGTGTGGAAAGCTGTTCTCAAGCGGGAACCAGAGACAAAGGACGAGGGGACAGAAACATAACGAGACGACAGACACAAACAAATGTCGACCAGAGTGAGCTAGCATGGTTTATTAAGCTTAGGCCATAACTCCCTCACTGTTCAATTTCGAGTAGCGAACGGGGTGCAATATTTGAGTTGGGGAACCAGTTGTCTCACACGCAAATTCCTATTTCGGCTGCTGGCTGGCGCTAAGCGCCTCTAAGGAGAACCACAAGTACACGGACTGAATCATCCTGGAACTTTCAAAAACTCTCCGAGAGCAATAGTTAGCAAAGTGGATGAGATTTTCGACACTTCGCTTGCTCAATTCTTACCTACCAGATTGGCTGACGCGCGCTACTGCGCGCATGGTTCAGTCTGTGGTCCTGATCAATGACAGGATTTCTGTGCTGACCCCTAACACTTGGCCTGATTCCCATGTTTCAAAATTCGGCCCATTTCATCATATTTCCATATTTCTCCTCTTTATGAGCAATTGCCAATGTGCTTATCAGATTTCTAAAAAACAGATCATCAGGCGGCAATAAAACGGCTTAGCGGTCGAAAGGTAACAATACCGAGATCATAGTGGAATGTGCTTACATCAAGATACTTCTTTTGAACGTCTGTCTGCTGGTGGTCCTTATCATTCCCCACTGGCGAACAATTTCAAGCCTCGCAAGCGGAGTAAAGCTGCGAACAGATACTGACCCTTGTCGTACCTTATGTCGCAACTTATCTCCCACCACCAGGGTACAGCATGGGGATGTGTCAAATGGCGGTGTGGGTACGACCCCCCCCCCTCCTGCTCTAACTGACAACCAGATGCATGTTCACCACAAATGGCTTCCTGAAATGGAATCTGGATTCTCGAAAGGCGCACTCTGCTCTAAAATACAGGAAATAAAAGGCTGTTTCAGCCTCATGCAATATGAGGCTGAACAACAGCCTCGCATTACCTACAATTTTGTCTTAGGATTCAAAATAAAACTCCTCGTTCGATAACCATCACATATGTATAACTCGTATGACATGCAACTTGTAACAAGAAACACAATTGAAATAGCGGCTAATGGTGATCATTGATAGGCTGAATTGGTGAAAAAATAGCCCCAAGGTGAGCGTGTCAGGGCCCAGATGTGCATTCAATGAATGGTGACGGGGAAATAATGAAAACATGCACGACACAACAAAGCGAAACATGGAAAATACAAAAAATGCAGAGCTAAATGAAAAAAGGATAACCAGGCCGGCAGTAAATCGTTCCATACTTGGCTATTATCGATCAGGCTGCAGGGCGCAAGGCTGCGACCGCTTTCTTTGGAAAAACGTCATTGGAGCGCGGTTGTTGGACTTGCCAACGTCCTGGGGTCTGTTCGGGGGGTTATATCTTTTTTAGGTGCGGAGCTTTTGAGGAATGGTGAGCAGCATGCAACGGCAAAGTTTCTACTATTGTGTATTCTACCTAGCTGCAAACTGAACAATCCCCGTTGGTGAAATATTCCGGATGGGTCACGGTTCGGCCAGGGGTAAATCGCGAGCTGGTTTCCATGATTCACACAAGGACTGCTTCGTTCAAACGCAATTTCATCAGGACTGAAGTCGTCTTGAAACCCCTCCATCTTTTCTCTTTCCAATAAGCTTTACAGTTTTTCTGAA